GTTTATACATAAGCACACACATTCTTATTTTATACACGCAGACACACACGCGCGCACAGGGACACAGACACAGACACTGACATAGACACAGACACAGACGCACAGACGCACACACACACACCCGTATATATATATATACATATATATATATATATATATATATATATACATATATATATATATATATATATATATATGGAATTGAGATGTACATACGTGATTAGAGGCAGCTTGGCCGCAAGCTGAAGCTTAAACATCAGGCAGAACTGAGAGGATTGAACCGCTTACTAAGACTGCTGCTACTACCATCGAAGTTCTGAATCGTCGACCTAGATCTGACCGGTCGTGATGAGTTCATTCTGTCTTGTCTTCTAAAGACCCGGTGCACTGGGCACCGTGATATCGGTAGCTAATTTTAGGACTTGGTATTAATGTATTGGGTAGTGTAACAATTTCCTTTATATATTGTGTGGATGAATTGTGTGGATGAATTGGCGAAAGAATATACAATGCCATGCATGTTCCGCATTCAATTTACAGCTCCAAACGTGGCAGTTCAAGTTTAGTAGAAAAAAATGGTGGTTATGCTTAGTATTCAACTAGAAATACGATTTAGGTGTAGAATATACATATATGTATAATGCACATATATATTTATACTCATACATACAGCAAATAAACATCGAACAGCCTTTGTACTATTATAGCAAATCGAACAGCCTTTGTACTATTATAGCAACATACACAATATCTATTTTTGAAATATTTATATCATATATTTATTAATCCACGCGACTCCTTGTGAGAGTGAGTCTCTCTAGTAGACGATGATACAAAATGCCCGCCAAAACACCCTAAAACAGAAAACCCTGTACAGTAGCCTTGTTCTCTTCCAGCTCTCTTTGGGCACTACGGATGATTTGATTGGCCACAGATCACCGATAGATAGAGTGCTTGAATGAGCGTTCCACTACTAATTACTATTTGCGATTTTCAGGCCAAATACAGCTGGAATACTTTGCTTGAAACAAACATATTTATGTATGGCAATCTAGTAAAATTTTACACAATATGAAGTACAATGTATATTACCGAGACTTTCAAGAAGGCCTCAGACACACATGCAAGAATATCAAATTGAAAAACACACGAATGATACATAGTCGTCTTGCAATGCCCATACTTCTCAAGCCATGATCAGAAAGGGGTGTGAAACGGTTTACATTTTCAAAGGACCAACCTACCTCTCGAGATCAACGCACCGTCACATTCAGTCATCCTTAGAGCTAACTGCTGAACTTACTTATACCTAATTAAAGCGTAACAACATACATCTAGTTATAGATAACTACAAGGCTTATTGTACAAGAATATATCGTATATGATATTTTATTCCACCATTGTATAGTACAAGAACACCGGTTCTGATATACAAACTCACATTACATCAGAGGTATACAGACTGCTACACTACTCAAACTCTCTCTTAACTTTAACTAGACCGGCGGCATCATATGAGCCCAACATCATTGCGCCCGAGTAAGTGAGTCTTCTACTAACAAAATGACTGCACTACAATCACACGGCCCTCCTGCCACTATCATCCCTACTGCATGCTCACCCAAACACGATCTCCAGGGAGCAATCCCCCAGATTCACATAGAAAGCACAGACGAAAACTTCTGTGCTTCTCTAGATTCAAAGCTCAAGCTTACAGACGAAGTGGAAGAGTCTGAAGCGGGCGAATGTAGTGATAATTCGATCTTGCGTGCATGTGCCGATACAACTGCTAGTGGCGATAAGGACAATCCAGATCATCGCACCACGGCAGAGAAAAATCCGAAAGCAGCAATATCGGTACACCATGTGCCCACCTGTGATTCTATGTCCATCAATACAATCATAAGTGAATCACATTCGTTACGAAACACTGATCACGCTGAACGCGTCGTGGAGTACAATGAAGTGCCCCTACACATTGAAGTGTACGACGTAGAAGAGTCCGATCAACACCAGCACATACACAGACAACAGCCGGACAGTATCTCACTATGCTCCAGTGCTGTGGATCCAATACATACCACCAATAAACCGGTTGAGATAGACCAAAGTTCTGGTGCAAACACTGCAGCACAGCGTGGGTTCGCAGACCAGGGTCAATCGTGCGAGACAGCCAGCGGTTCAAACGTTGAATATGAGGATCAAGACCCAACTCACTTAAGTCATCATAATAAAGAAGCGAATGCAACACAACGAGCGACGGGGAGTGATGAACTGACCCCAGAAATACCACCTATAGATTTAGCAGTAATACCGAAGAGGCTCCCTGCACAGCTAATCAAAACATCGTCGCTCAGAAAACGAAAACAAGGTCCTGCTGATGCAATCAAAGTCGAGTCTCAGCAACGAGGTAAAGTGCTCATTTGTATACAACTTACACACATATATGCATACACTTATGAGTTTTTTGACATACACAATCAGACAACAATAGTCGCATATGCACAAAAATTAACTTATATGTGCATCGTTGTTGATAATATAAATTCAAGAATACTGCAGCAATACTTGCACATAGCCATGCCTTAGTCAAAACGAAAACAATCATATTCACTTGTGTAGAAGTACAGAATGTC